GAATCAATTGAATAAAACCAGATCTGCGGAAACAGGGAATGAACCATAAAGAAGTGTTTGCTCACCAGATCGAGAGCGCACGCGAATCCACCTTGGACCTTGACGAACTTGTCCTGGCCATGAGGTGGATCTCCACGGAGAGCGAGAACTTTCTGGATGCCACTGGACTTGACAGTCCCAAACGCGTGGTCGATCTTCATTTTCTTATTATTACCAACTTTTTCAGATCGTTAATTTATGTGATTAAACCCAGATCTGGGTTTGAGGAAAACCCAGATCTGGGTTTAAGAGAGGAAGAAGAAAAGGAGAAGAGAGAAAAAAAATAAGAAGAAGAGAGAAAAAGGATGAGCAGGGAGGAGGAAAGGAGGAAGAGATAAAGTTTGAGAGAGAATCTAGATCTGGGTTTGTAGAGATAAGAGAAAATGAAAGATAAAGAAGAGAGTGTAAAAGAGGAAAAAGAGATGACGTAGATGAAAAAAATATATTTTTTTTAATTAAAGGAAAGAAAAAGTGATCGTCACTTTTACTGATTAAGAGAGAAATTATATTAAAATTATATTATTTTAATAAATTTTTATTGAGTAAGGGTAAATTATTTTATTTTTAAAGTATATATTAAAGTGATTTTTTTTAATAAAATAGATAAATATTAACCCATTAAATAAAAATATCAATTTATAAAAAAAGTGATTAATTATTATTTTTTTATATCATTATTTAAGAAAAAAATAATTAATTTGTTGATAAGAGAACGTGGTATTTGTCTATTTATTTTACGAAAGTATAATTTTGATTTCAAAAATGAAAGTTTAAGGGTAATTTTAATTTTTTTAAAGTTAATAAAAAATTTTAGAAAATTTTCTTATAAAAGGAAAATTTCGAAAAATTTCTTATAAAAATATTAAGATCTACTCAAAAGATCTTCTAACTTAATGGATCTGAGATCCACTGAAAGAAAAAAAAAGTTAATTTTTTATTAAAAAAATTGAAATCTACTGAACTAAAAAATGAAGGAA